ACATGAGCAGGAGCCTGAGCCCATTCCAATCACTTGACAAGGTCTTGCAAGATCCATGTTTGCATTAAAAAGAAATTAAAAGCTTTTCCACTCCACTAGCTTGCCCAAAGCCTGCATACTAAATAGTAAATGCTACCTATGAGGTTGAATAAAATCTTCATTAAAAGAAGAAAAAAAAAGCCAGCAGTCACTGAATACATCATGAACAATGACATTGGGGAGGCATTGTTCTTCTTCTGCCTGATGGACCATGCTGAAACACCTGTTTCTTATCGAGGAACTGTTAATAACTGTCACCGCCAAAATCAGGGCTGAAAAAGTGTCATTAAGTCAAGTTATTCCAACATACACCTGACTAGGAAGAGGGAAAAAATAAAAAAAATTAAAAAAAAAAAAAAAAAAAACAGCAGGAGGAAGAGAGGCAAAGCTATGCCTGAGATAAATGTCAAAGCATAATTGTCCATGTGTCCCCCAAAAAAACCCACCCAAAAAATCCATCTGAGGTGGAGATCTTGCTGACATGAAAGACACAGCTGGGTGGCCACAGGCAGTTTTAGCTGATTAACTGCAGACATTGACCCTTTCAATTAATTCACCAGGGATTTGTTTCATTCTGATCATCTCCTAAAGCTGCAGCTTCCCCAGAAAGTCAACAGAATAGCAGTTTCTGTTAAAGGGGTAGGAGGGATGGTCACCAGGGGTGTTTAAGGGAATCCTGACTCAGGGAGGAATGAGCATCTGAAGAACACAACTCCTTAGGAATTCCAAGCTCTTTATCTTCTCAAAGAAAACTGGAGCAATGCAAAGCAAACCCCTACTTTGCACAGTTCAGGCATGGAAAGAGACCTGAGTTTATCAGTGGAGGGTAAAACATCTCTCACTGTCATTTTTGTTGTGCTGCTCACTGGCTGTATGTGTTTGATCTCTCATCACTGTTCAAAGTTTTGCTGTAGCAAAAATGGTCATTCCTCCCCAGAATCACAGCTAGTCTGAGATTTGTCTCTTCCAGAGAATCACCAAGAGGCCTCTAAGATGATCCAGCACAGCCATCAAACCAGCAGCACCACCTTGTTCTCAAGTGCCAAAAACACACATTTTTCCAACATTTCCGAGGATGGTGACTCCATCACTTCCCTGGGCAGTCTGTTCCAATGCCTGACCACCCTTTATGTGAAGAAATCTTTCCAATCTAAACCTCCCCTGGTGCCACTTTTCCTTTGAGGCCCTGGCTTGGTCCCTTTTTGGGCAGTTTCTGCCCAGTGGAACCCAGATGCCACCCAAAGCAAAGGAGCCGATAATCGCAGGGAGTCACAAGAGCTCCCTGGAATGGGTTCAACACAAAAATAAAAATAAAAATAAAAATAAATGAAAAAGGTCAATCACCCTGATATTTTCTGTCAGAATGAAAAACTGAGTGGAAATTCTGGCTGGAGCAGCTCTTTGCCTTCAGCTTGGGAATCCATGCAGCGACAGCCTGAAAGCTTCACCACACAGAGCGTCTGGACCAGGGCTCTTTATTTATATTTTCTTGAAACATCAGAGCTCCTTCCCCTCCCCACTTCCCCTTGATCCACAGCCTGGAAGAATTTTAAAAGCATCCATACTTCCCCAGCAGTGCAGGCGCCTTCAACAATGAGATGCACCTGAGATGACCTTGAAACAAGCCCAAATTAATCTCTCCAAGGCCAGCCTTGAGCCGCGGTCGGGGCTTTGCAAAGCGGGACTCATCTTTTATCTTCCTCTCCCTGACAGCCTGAGAAAGGCTGGTTCAGAGGAGCGAAACAAAACACTCACCTGCGTGACAGAATAGTTAACTTAATCCCCCAAAGGCAAATCCTGTTAGCATGTAAAACCGGGAGTGATAATTGTACCCAGTTCTCAACCTTTTGCTGTGCTGGAAATAATCGCTTCAGTGCCACTGCCTGCCTGCCCAGAGACTCCTTTCTGCACAGATTATTTTATTTATTATTATTTCCAGGAGGGAAGGAGGGTGCAATGCTAAAGATGAGGGGATATTTAAGACAGGGGTGAGAGAGTGAGGTTTGGGCAGCCACAGGTTGGTCTGCTCAAAAAGCCACCCCAAAGCAAAAATCTAAGAAAACTGGGTAAAATCAGCCAGATTTCACGCAGATGGATTCAGTCAGGCGAGCCTGGTAAATACATTTTTCTGGGAGATAACAGCTTTTTTTTTTGGTTGTTTTTTTTTTTCCAAGACAAAAGCAAATCTTTGTCTTTTGTGAGAGAGCTTGACCATCTGGACTTCAGAAAAGCATCTGATATTGTGCCACATGGGCAAACGATTAGTTAAACTGTAGGAGGAGAACATTAGGAAAAGAATTATGAATCAAAGAAATGCTTGGCCTAAAAAAAATATATATATATATATATATATTATAATAGATAATACCAAAAAAGGAGGCAGCTTGGAGAGATTTTGCTGAGCAGGCTGTTCAGTCACCGCTCACATTCAACACTTCCTTAACAACGGGGGACCAACACTCATCAAACTCACTACTCTAGGGGCAAAACAAGGCAAAACACAGAGTTTTGGCATCATTTGGAAGGAAATGATGCCTTTGAGAGCCGGACTGACTGATGTGGAGTGACATTCAATGGGACAAAATCCCAGGTTTAAAAGATCAGTGCCAAGGGTGCCAAAGTCAGTGGAGAAGCCCTCTGTGGTTGAGCTGTGTCCTACAACACATCAGGGAGCCCTGATGGCAAAAAGGCATCTACAGCTGAAAATATTTCCAGGAAAAAGAAAGAAAAAGCCCTATTGACTGCTACCTCAGAAACCCAAAGGGCTGAGGAACAGCTGGAATATAATTGGTGTTACTGGCCAGCACAGGAGGTCCTCCAACCCAGCATCAACAAACCCAGGTCTTCTCCAGCCCTCCTCAAATATAAGATTGTCTCTGTTGGAACCCAAACCCAGGGATTTCCCACCCTTGGGACGCAGGAAGGGATGAAGCAAAGGGATTTCAGCAGAAATTAAACTGAATTGACTCCGGTGAATTTTTACGACCAGATACTTTGGGCAAACATTATTAAGCCTCCTTAGGTAATGTAATTAGAAGTTCAGCCCCTTTTATCTAAATATTGCACACAGGAAAAAAATATCCATCATTTCATAAAGTGAGAAAAGCAGCCTTTCTTTCTTTTTCTTAATAAAAGGTTTTTTCCTTTTAAAGCCTCCTTTAAGCAGGTGAACATTTCACAAGGAATCCTGGGCTTGTTGCAAGTGCATTTGGATTTCTCCTGAGTAAAGCAGGAGACAGATTCAGGTTCTACATCAAAATATGTGACAATAATCCTCTTCAGGTGGCTGCTTGAGGGAAGAGGAGACAGCAGCAAAGGCCTCTAAACAGAGAATTACTCAGCTTTACCCAGCAACTTCTGTCTTTATGGGCACAACCCACTCACTGTGAGCAAGAATGGCCAGAAATTGAGACAAAATGTTTTTTAGTCAGAGGATGTCAACTTGCCAAGCCCAAGAGCTCACACAGAGGGGAGGAAAAAAAGCCATTTCAAATGACACATTTATTTACCCAGGCCACAGATTTTTCTGCGTCATCACGGAGTTTTCAGTGGTTTAGAAAAAAAATGAAATAAAAGAAAGAAAAAAAGGAAGAAAATAAGAGAAACAAAGCTTCACAGAGCACAAATAACCTGGTATGTTGGGCACTGGCCAGGGATGCAGATGGCTCAGATTCAAGCTCTTCAAAGCAGGGATTTGTACCTCTCTCTCCCCAACATTCCCAGCGAGGCCCAAGCCATAAACCAATCCTGGGAGTTTCACTCTCACCTTATGGTTTTAAAAAAAAGAAAACAAAAAGTATCTTGGTTTTATCTTGCTGCAGGAAAAGCCTTCCTTCTGAAACCTCAGCGAGGAGGACTGCGGGATGAGAAAGAAGCAGGTCCCTTCCCTCCCTGGTTCTGATTACAGCTTATTAGCAACATTGTTTGGTTTAAGATTTCCCATAAAAATTCCATTCCCAGCAAAGACGTCGACTAAAAAGTAAGCAAGCATTAATGGGAGCTGTCTCTCATTAAGAGCAGCTCCCTAAGGAACAGGAGCTCCTGTGTGTGTGTGTGTGTGTGTGTGTGTATGTGATCATTTCAGTCAAGCCACCATTTCACAACTTTCACCATGGGGTAGAAATCCCAAACTCTTAAGGAAAGCTTAAGGAAAAAAAAAACAAAAAATTGCTGGAGAAAGGAGAAGAACCAACACCAATTTCTCTGTGAGCCACCAGAGAACCCACACTGGGGAAAACCATGGGAGACGAAACTCTGCCTTCCCCTGCCAGCTCTTAAAAAAATGAATAAATTCCTGTCAGTAATGGCCCAGAGTGAGAGGAGGGAGGAAGAAAAGAGATGTTTTGGAGTTCCCTTTTCCCAGGAAGGGCCGGTTCTTGCAGCCGGAGGGGCCGAGGGCTCTGCTGGCTCCGAGCAGATGGCGTGGACACGCCTGAGCTGGAGAAACCCTTTGTAATGAAACGCCTCTCCCAGAAATTAACTTTAATTAAGGCTTAATATCTGTGTTTGAGATATTAAACCTTCAGAAGAGGCCGTTCCCAGCCTCTCACCTCGCACCTTCCCCAGCATCCCCTGCTGTCCCCGGTGCTGCCACCCATCCTCATCCTCTCCCCAAGGAAGGTGGCCCCAGCTGCTAATTTGCAGGGAAACGTGCAGGAATGTCACATCTTGGAGCTCTCTATCCCTCCAGGAAAATGTGACAGGGGGTTCAAAACTTGTTAAGGGGAGGCTGGTGGGAGGAAAGGCACTGACAGACAGTACAATCGCATAAGCTGCTTTTCCTCGGGAAACCAGGCTAAAAATAATACCCTGCAATTTGACAGCCTCAGCCCAGGAGAGCCACCGACGTGCCAGTGGAGATGAGGAGCGGAGCCTGGATGGGGGCTGGCTCGAGGAAAGCACCTGTGAGTTAAAACAACACCCTCAACCCACTCCAGATCCATCCAAGTGGGCACAGGTACCTGGAATTCCGTGAGCAAAAAGGCTCCTGTGAGATCCCCCATTCTGAACCCACAGCTTGCACAGTCTCACCACACTGCTGCTGAATTGTCTGCAAAAAAAAAAAAAAAAAAAGGCAGTTTTATGGCCCAAAACCAGCAGTGCAAGTGGGAAATCTTGCTGTCACAGACACAATCGCACATCCCGCTCCGG